CTCAAACTCTTGTCGAACCTTCTTTAAAATGGCTGCGGTGATCGAGGCACAGGCGTCGACAATTGCTTGCCGCAACTCCACCAAACTTTGAGGTTTTGATTTGAATACAGCTGACTTCAAGTATCCCCAGAGGAAGAAATCGAGGGGGGCTAAATCCGGTGACCGCGGTGGCCATAAAATTGGATCTCCCCTACCAATCCACCGACCCGGGTAATTAAGATTCAAGTACGCCGTAACGTCTGCAGAGAAAGGAAGTTAAAAAAAAAAGTTAGCCCCCGCCCCCCAAGATTTTGGGGGGACCAAAAAGTTGCTACCTTAAACTTAGGAACATTCCCAAAGTTTCAAACTTCTATCTCAATCAGGAAAAAAGTTACAGGGGTGGTAGGTGACTTTTGGATAACCCTGTATATGTGTATGCATGCAATAGAGGGTTAAAGGAAATATCAGGTGTGACAAAAATGAGGAGAGCCAAAAAAGTGACCAAATTCTTTGCGCTCCTTTGTTTTTCCTTGGAACTCATCATTTGGTTCGAGGAGTGATTTTAGTCGATGAAACACTTGATGAGTAGCGCAGTAGTCTAACGGTTAAAGTTACTGGGTTCTGAACTCCTCACCGGAGTTCGATCCTCAGTTGAGGTTGATAGTTTTATTATAGGTTGCAATTTTTTTTTATGGTGTAAAGCAGTCATAGTGCCCGCTAGGAGCAAACGAGGAAAGGAAGGAACAATTTTCTCTCCTTTTTTCCCCTCTGGTATCCCATCGAGAAAATCTTATTAAATGATCTGAAAATTTCGAGTTCTGCCGTTCGGCCACATGAAGTCGAAATCGTCTGTCGGGCTAAAACTAAGTTCACATGTACCCATACTATACGCAATACTATACATACTATACACAATATAAAGGTTAGGGAAGAACGTTAGAGTACTTTTCAGGAGCCATAAAGTGGCTCTTTCTTTCGATTTTATAGCATCTAAGAGCCATTTTAGGGGTCTGCCGATCGGTTGCATGAACTTGAAATCGTTTGCCGGGCTAAAACTAAATTTATATGTACTTATACTATACGTATACATGTAATAAAAGTTAAAAAAAAACATTAAAGCATTTTTCAGGAGCCATAAAGTGGCTCTTTCTTTCGATTTTAAAGCATCTAAGTGCCATTTTTGGGGTCTGCCGATCAGCCGTATGAACTTGAATTCGTCTGCCGGGCTAATATAAAGTTTATATGTACCAAAACTATACGTGCGTACAATATGAAGGTTGAAAAACGACGTCAAAGCATTTTTCAGGAGCCTTCAAGAGGGCTCTTTCTTTCGATTTTATTGCACGGAGGAGCCGGTTTTGGAGTCTGCCGATCGGCCGTATGAACTCGAATTCGTCTGCTGGGCTAAAACAAAGTTTATATGTACCCAAACTATACGTGTGTTTAATATAAAAGTTAGGAAGCAACGTCAAACCACTTTTTAGGAGCCAAAAAGTGGCTCTACCGTGCGATATTTCACGCTTTTTTCCGGCTTTTTTTATGGGGGGGGGGCCGCAGCGGCCAGACGCACCACTTTTGAGGTCTGATATTGCCCAATCCCTTACTAGGGAGGTCAGAACTATGTCTCTGCCAAGTTTCAAGCGTGCCGGAGCAGTGGCGCGAAAAATGCAGCTGGCTATTAAACCATTACCCAGAGCGGGCCTGTAGGACATCTTATCCTCAACCTTCCTCGAAGAAAGGAACCGATGATATTTTTCACGCTTATCCTTAATCTCACTCTCTATCTGTTCATCCCACTAGTAAGGTTGTTCTTTGGATTTTCCATTATCAGCCAAAACGCCGAGAGCTTCCATTGCTGCCGAATGAATGCAATCCTTTAAAAATTGATACTGGCCTTCGGTATCACTATCTCTTGCTTCACCTAACTTCTCATCCAATCGCCGTCCGTAGAGTGCCTCAACACTCGGATGATGCAGACTTTCGATATTATACTTCACAAGCTTTATACGGTCCACTTTTGGCAAAGTCTGCTGTTGTGTTAGCTAGAGTCCCTTTATACTGAGAGTCAAGACAATTCGGCTCATGGATGTCACAAACGGGAATAAAGATTACAGAAATTGAACGTTTTTCGTAATCTTTGATTGGCCCATTCTCAAATGCCTTTCTCCGTTCCCCCTCTCATTCCGTTTGTTCCTTCCCGAACCCGTAATTCCCTGGTCCATTCCAGATTATAATCTTTGCAATCGGTGAAAATGTAATCCTTATTCCCGTTCGTGACACTGTAGAGGCCTAAAATACGGGAACCAATCAGAAATGGATTCAAATTGTCTTGACTCTCAGTATAAAGGGACTCTAGTGTTAGCCTGTTCTCATGGCAGCCCCTCCTCTCACGGGGAAAGCTATGGCCGCTCCAAGGAAGTAGTGATCACTACCGCAAGAAAGACCTCTCCACACTCTAACTTGCTGTTACCTTCAAGCTGGTGTCTTGCTTTACTATCACATATTCGGTGACAGACTGTAAACCCCGCGTAGGCTGGACCCACGTGAACTTGTGTATTTCCCTGTGTTGGTAAAACCCATTGAGCACTTTCAAACTTCTTTGCTCACAAACGTCAATGATACGATTGCCATTATCATTCAATTTGGTCTAACCGAATGATCCTACGATTTGACTTTCAAACTGACGTCCTCTTCTCTCATTTAAGTCTCCCAACACGACGATTTCTCTACTGTGTTCAATATTTCCAATCTCTTCATCAAGCTCCTCAAAGAATTGGTCTTTCACTGCGACAGTTCATCATTGACTCCATACACCCCTAGCACAGTCATCATTAATATGTCCGAACACAACGAGGTTCGTCCGGATCATACGGGGGCTAATCGCTTCCCACGTTTTCACGCACTTACGCAGACTCTTACGGACAAGGATTGCAACACCCTGCTGAGCACGTTGGTTCTTTGGCACGCCACTGTAAAACAAATCGTAATTTCCAATACTCTCAGATCCTCGCCCTTTCCTTTTTGCTTCTGTCAACACAGCCAAATCCACATCGCGACTTTCTATATCCGACACCACTTCCGTCAATTTCTTGGAAATGCCTTGCACGTTCCAAGGTCCAAATAGAAGGGTCCGTTTCCGTAACTTTTGTCGATTTTTCCGTAAAATTCCATTGATACCGAGGCTCGATTTGGGGTTTTTGACAATTTACTTTTTATGAGCATCGAAGAGTCAGCCCGATGCCTCAACCCCCGACCTGGAGGACCAGAGTTTGATTTCGGAGTTGCCTCTCCTAGACAGGTTGCTTTCACTGCAGCTAAGAGCCCTGTCTGCCCTTCCGAAGGGTGATTCCTACGCCTAAAAGCCGGTGACCAACTCCAAGCCCCCTTTGAGGCAGGGGCTACCAGCTGTGCTCTGCAGGATTGCTAAACCTGTAACAGTTAAGTCCCTCATACGGGGTCATTTATACCCTCTTTTGACTTATTTTCGTGAAGAATGAGTCTTTTAAACCGCTACTTTGTAAGACCTCGGAAATTCTGAGGACCAGAAAAATAAATACCGAGGTGAGTTTTTCTAGTTCAATTTGATTTTTATCGTTTACAAAGACGTCTTCCTGGAGTAAAATTTCATTCTCTACAACTTGAGTTCTGTGGCATTTTTCTCGTAAACGCACGATTTCAGCTTAAAATCGAGTTTTTTTGTACGAAATCGAGGTCTAAACCTTAATATCATAATTTCATCACAAAATCGACCTTCGGCACCATTTAAAATGGTTGAAATTGGCCCAAATTTTGGCAAACATGTTTTTTTATCAATCGTCATCGATTGCCACCTGGGGAGCGGAACATTTCAGACTCAATTTTTTGACGCACCCTAGGACAGCACGCGAGTATTCACTCCGCGCGCTTCGAAAATAGCGCGCCACGCCAACTTTGAACGGTCATAACTTTTAAACTTTTCATTTCCCCAGGTTCAACGATAGCTCGTTTTAAAGCTTAAATTAAGGGTTTTTATTTCTATTGGTTTTTGTTATGATTCATGCGTTCCCTTACATAGAAAAACCCGAAAACCCGAATTTTTTGGGCTTGAAAAAATCAAACTATGATTTTTTTCACGTTGAAAAATTACCAAAAACAGACTGTACTATACATAAAATGAGAGCTTTCATTTGAGCCCAAGATCAAGTTGATCCGATGCTTCGTTCAAAAGTTATGGCAGTCGGAGCGTTTGACCTTTGACCTCCTTCCCCCTGGAGGGCTAGACGAGAAATGACACCGGATTTAGGCCTCTCCGATTATCCGTTATGATTCCTGAAAGTATGGATGTAAAAGCTTTTGCTGCCATTTTCTATGGAAAATGGGACAGCCTCTTTGCTCTCATTATTCCTTTCTGCCAATCCTGTCCTCACTTCAGGAAAAATCATCTTATTATTTTTTGAGTACGCACTTCAAGTGTGTTGGCGCCCGAACCCAGGCGTCCTGAGGAGCATCTGGCACCCTAAATTTGTGGCTTGATCTGCTGAGGCTCGATCCTTTCCAGAAAGCTCGCTTTCTGACGATCGGGATCGTACGAGTTCTCGCTTTTCCTAGCCAGGGGGGGGGGTCACCGTACCCCTCTTAAATTTTGGGCCTAGGGTGGACTGATTTTCGATTTTCAGGGGTCAATTTCACCTTATGCGATGGATTTGCGATTCGGTTGGGAACCGCGACCTTTAGGATCGTGACCCCCCCCCCCCCCNCCCTCTTTGCTCCCCAAGGAGGGGTTGGAGGGTTTCGAAACCACGAAATTTGGATTCCTTGGGGTCGATTTCCTTCTCAACTCCGCGATCCCTGACTTCCTACGCCCTAAAACAACCGAGAATAAAGCCTGGTACGTGTGGCCTGAAACACCCTGCATGTTTTCAATGTGTGTTATGTTTCTTATGTTTTTAAGGTTTTTTGATATTATTTTTCTTACATTGACGAGTCGTGTAAAATTTTATGGTAAACTACCATACCTCATGACTCTTTTTTTCTGTTTCCAGATACAAAAGAATGCAAAATAGAGGGTACCGAGGAGGGTCCACAGGATGCACATCAACTTTTACGAGTAATAAAGGCAGAAAGAAAGGAGGAAGAAGACGATTGAAAATATTTGCTGCCTGCTTGCCTTCGTACCTACCTACGAGGGTGGATTTTAAAGTAATTTTTCTTGTTTTGTTTCTCGAGAACCATCAACGCAAGGGAACTCACTAAGTCAGCATTAAAATCTTTTCAGATTTTTCAAAAGCCGTAGTTTTTTTTAAATTTGGTCCAAGCGTTGCAGAAAAATCATGAATTTTCTATACTCTCCTTCAAATTTGCCCATTTTTTCATGTGCTGCAGAACTTCACAGGAAAATAAGTTGAAATCTGGATTAAAGTAAATTGGAGTCAATATCATATTGAACGAAGTCAAGACTGTTTTAAAGTATTTTACCTTACTTTTCGACGATGTCACTCGTCAGATCCTTGCATTCTGCATATCGGTACAACATACGAATTCTGGTTTTGTAAAACTCTTTGTTCATATTCCTGAGATACGCTGATTCAAAATATCACACCTGCAGTACTATTAAAACATTTGTCTCCAAGAAAGGACCCCGCAAACCTCTTATGGGAAGCTGCACCGAGACGGATAGCCTTCTGACTTATATCATTGGATTCTCCTCAAGATGCTGATCAAAAGTTATAATTGCGCCAACTTTCTACGATGCACCGTTTTCGCAAAAAAGCTAAGTGAAGATTCAATTATTCGGCGACTATGAATAAAAAAGAACAAAGCATTTGAGAACAGGCCCGACGTAAATGAGGAGAAAACGTACCTAGCGTGTGTCCGTCTTCTTATCTGTACCTGCCGACTCTATAGTCGAGGCGAGATTTGGTTGGACCCGGACAAAATTGCAAGAAAAGGTTTTTATACATCAAAAAACGCAGAAAAATCAGCAGAATCCGAATATCTAAAGGTCGTCAAAAGGCCGCAAAAATTTCACCCCAAAATGGCCAAAAAACCGAAAAAATTCCCAAAATTTGCACGTTTTTCCTCCTAAATTCCTATCTTGCGCCAAAACTATTGGTTTTAGCGCCAAATTTTTAGAGGATAAAATTTTACTATGGAAAACCTTGTTCTGAGGATCATACGGCGACATTGGACCCCAGAAAATTGCATCATAAAAAAATTGATAGTTAACATCAATCGCGGATCTCATGAGAATGACCGATTTTCCTCTTGAACCGTTCAATTTAGAGCGAAAAGTTACTGAACAAATATTTTAGATCGTAAAATTTTACCTACGAATAATGCAAGAAGCGCCATCGTTTGATAATTTGAAGCCTAGAAATTTCATTGGAAAGGGAGGCACTGCGGACCTCAAGTTTCCCATCGCGGAGGTTAAATGTAAACAGCATGTGTGATAAACTGCGGGTCCTCCTCGTGAAATTTTGCGGTAAAGCAGCATTATACATGATTATACAGCAGATAGAGGCACCGTCAGCACTGAATTTTTTTGCATTTATTGGACATGGGGGGGGGGGGGGGCAGAGGAGGAGGTCAAAAATGAGCGATGTGTATCCGATATTCTCATGTGACGCTGTGATAGTCCGGGTATTCTAGCCGTTATACACAATTTCTCGCGAGTTTTCTTCAATTTCCCTCGGAAATTGTTTTAATCATTTGGCAGAGATTTAAGGCGTAGCTGCGAGATAAATTGTAGCAGGAAGCATCGGTGGACGGGGATGAAGGGGGAGGGGGAGGTGATCCTTTCTGTTTCTCCGGGCCATACTAAACCTGTGCAAAGAGAGAAGAAATTTACACATTTTAGGCAAAACAAGACTATATGCGTAAAAAAGCCAAAGACTCATTTCGCGTACCTAAATGTGACCGCATAATTCAAAATAATATTTGTGTGAAGTTTGACTTACTTTATTTTTCCGAGGCGATATTTCATTCAAAAATCAGCATCATTTTCGACGGCAATGTAATCCTCATTGCCGTCCATATCTTCTAATGTAGGGTCCACGCTTGTAGTTTGGTTACTGCAGGAGACACCTTGGCAGTTCTTGCAAGCGAACGAACAGTTGATTCCATGCTTTTTACAGCTGCTTTTATTTAAGGAGCATGCGTCCTCAGCACAACCACATCATGGGTGGCGGTAGCCACCTCCGGACAAAGTCTAAACTCGACAACACTGGAAAGCCTCCAAACGAAAAAAGGTGGCAGCCAACCATAGACACACGTAACTCCCTTATTCTGAAAATTGATTCGACTCCAAGTAGACTGCAGCCCAAACGACGGCACGGATTCCAACGATCTTGGTGTCTACTGACGCACCTAAATTGGGCCTACTAAGTTGGAAAGTTTCATCCAGATCCATTGAGTTTTCAAAAAGTTATAAGCACTTAAAGGCCCAAAATGACAAATATTTTTTGTAACATGGGCCGTTCAGTAGCGGGAAACCGACATGATCACCTTTCACAACAGATGTCTTGCTTACGCGGCCACAGATTCTAATGAAATCTACAAAGGATCATGCTTGAAGATATGAGGATTTCATTTCTACCACATTTAATAGGGTTTCAATGCTCGGATAATTCAGCATCGGCAAATAACTTTCAAAATTTTAGCTACAATGTTTTGCATTTTAGAAAAATCCGGTATAGTGGTTCAATGCCATTGGTCGATTCCGTTCAGTTCAGCCAGTCTCGGGAACGAAAAAAATTTCCCTAGTTACCAACTTCCAACTCTAACTAGTTGAGAACAGATTTTTGATTTAATTATAATATAAGAGTTCAATTCTTTGTAGAAGCTAAATAATATTTTTACACACTTATATTATTACGTCGCACGTCTTCTGCCAGAGCCCGATACACTATTTCATTAGTTTCTCTTAAAATGTTCAAGTGATGTCTTTGTTTTTGTTCAGAAGTGAGGTTATCAGTCCGTGTACCTGTCTGACCCAAGCATCAATAAATGTAAATCAGGTAAATTACGTCGATAAAAGGACATCAAAGTTGTGCCAAACTATCAAAAGGAAGCAGGAAGCATTTACACCACAGTTTGCATTCTCGTGACTAACAGCATCCAAATATTTCCCTACCATGCACACCAATGGATCGAAGGGACAGCCCATTAAGTACTCTCAGTTTTTAATTACATCATTGTTTTCCTCAAGTCACGAATGCTAGTTTCCATATCTTGAACTGGAATGAATTTAGCTACAACGGCCGTCAACTACAATGAGCGCCGTATCCGGGTACGGCGCTCCTCCGCACACTGGGCTCGAATCCGCCAAATGCTATTCTACGCAAGCGACCCCATCATCATTCGACCTAATAAAAAAACAATTCGACCCCCTTCCCCNNNCCCCCCCCCCCCCCGGCCAATTTACACAAAAAAACACAAACAATTACCAGCAAAGGATAGTTAATTTATAGAAGAGCTTCTCCGAATACTTTAATGGCCTTTGAATTATGATTTCAATCATGACATGAGGAATTCTTACGAATCTTACTAAAATGAAGCGCCTGGAAAGAGTATCCCACAACCCCCA